CTGTGGTGGGCCTTCCCTGAGACCCTGCAGAGCCCCTCACAGATCCTGCACAGCTTCCCTGAGACCCTGCAGAGCCCCTCACAGATCCTGCACAGCCCCCCTGAGACCCTGCAGAGCCCCTCACAGATCCTGCACAGCCCCCCTGAGACCCTGCAGAGCCTCTCACAGATCCTGCACAGCCCACCTGAGACCCTGCAGAACCTCTCACAAATCCTGCACAGCCACCCTGAGACCATGCAGAGCCCCTCACAGATCCTGCACAGCCCCCCTGAGACCCTGCAGAGCCCACCAGAGATCCTGCACAGCCCCCAGAGACCCTGCACAGATCCTGCACAGCCCCCTGAGACCCTGCAGAGCCCCTCACACATCCCTCGTCGCCCTGAGACCGCTGCCTCCTCCGCCCGGGTGCCTAACTGTTTTGGGGGCGGCATTTTTGCTGCCCCCCTGAAAACCGCCACACAAGGCAAACGCCTTGTTTGTCTCGCGGCAGATACGCCCCTGATTGCATCTCTTGTTGCTACAAAGTATTTATTTCCTGCGATCTTCGGCGCCACCTAGTGGCCATAACGCGGTATCTTCCCCGTTCACTTTATTCTTTATGAATGAACCTAATTTAACAACTACACATAATATTTGAAGAACATTCGACCAGAAGAGAAAATAGCCCAAGAACATTGGATTTTGCCCAACAGCTGGCGAATTCACACAGGACAAATGTACATGTCATGTTGCTGGACGAATAGCTGTACAATAGCCCCTGAACTGTCCACTCCACTACTCCATTGAAGGCAATAGGAAGGTGCAGACCTGCATTTAACGTGGGGTCTCATGAGCCCTGATTCAGCTCAGCTCAATGCCCCAGACACCTTGCCTTGTGGTGTGAATGGGCCCTCACAGCATGCAGGAATGGGCCCTCGCAGCATGCAGGAATGGGCCCTCACAGCATGCAGGAATGGGCCCTCACAGCATGCAGGAATGGGCCCTCACAGCATGCAGGAATGGGCCCTCACAGCATGCAGGAATGGGCCCTCACAGCATGCAGGAATGGGCCCTCACAGCATGCAGGAATGGGCCCTCGCAGCATGCAGGAATGGGCCCTCGCAGCATTCAGGACAACATTGTATGAACGATGATTCATCCACTGAGCTCACCGTATTCCTGACCCTCACCGGGGGCCGACTTTACCTTAATGAGGATCTTCCTCTTCAGCTGGTTGGGAGACGGCAACTCGTCCGCATTGATGTCCACCGGTTTGGTCAGCAGCATCTCACCAAACACCTTCTTAAAGTAATAGGCCATATTCCGCTGCTGCATGACGCTGCAGTGATCCTCTATGGACAGGATGACCGGGTACCTGGAAGAGAGGTATTGTACAGAAACTGATGTGACTGGCTGGGTGTTCTCTGTACAGCACAGCGGTATATGTCAGAGCTATATACATGTATAATGAGACAAGGTGGCCCCTTACTCGGAGGTGATGAAGGCGTTCTCCTTGATGGTGTAGAGGACATCGAGGAATTTGATCTTAGAGGTCAGCGTGTGTCCGTGGTAGATGATTGGCAGGTCATCCGGCCCGTCCCAGCAATCCACTGCCCAATCAGAAGGAGAGAAGAGAGTTATGTTCCACCCACTGTCATTTATAAAACCAGCTGTGCGCCCGTCCACATTGGACATTCAGGTGTTCCCGCCCACCCAGGGGTGTTCCCGCCCTCCCAGGGGTGTACCCACTCCTTCTTCTTCAATCTCCATAGAATAAGCTATAAAATACAACAGGAGAAGTGAGACCTGCTCATTAGGGCTGAGGCAGGAGTGCAGACCTGGGAACTTTGGCCTTCCTGTCCCCTCATGCGCATTGTACGTTGGTGCCCCTAGGGCCCCTCGGAGATATCCGAGCTTCAGTTACTCACACTCAATGCAGCGGCAGCCCATGCGGAGACAGCGAGCGTACGCCTCTAAGGAGGACTCACTGGAGAACTGGTCCCCGGTCAGGTACCTGCAAGAAGGGGGTGGAGTTATTGTCACATGACACACAGGAAATGCTACAATCCTACCAAAAGCATTGCTAAAAACTTGCATGTAATGTGGAGGATGGAATGTTAACAGCAGAGGCCCCGCCCACATATGGATTTATTGAAGGATTTCATTGGTTGGAGAAATCTATTGCAAGTTAACCTGAAGTTTATAAAGGGAAGGTATGTGGTATCTGGGCATCCCGTCCCCTCACCTGCTGAGCAATACGCACTTCATGTATTATGCAAATAATGACATAGCATGAAAGTCATTGACTGGCCACTCCCGCTGGAAATAAACCACGCCCCCTGTTTGTAAAGGGTATTAGAAGTCTCATCACATTGGAGAGACAGGAGTGGGGCATGTGATAAGAAGGGTGGTCACATGACACCACTACAAAGGCACAGCTGGGTGAGTATCAGGCTAAGCAGGGGTGGGACCTGGGAGTCGGCCAACCTATGACTGACAGTTTGTTCCCGCCCCCCTCATCCGCGCTGGTCCATATCCTGATCCGCACATCCCGCATAGCGGCACTGAAGACCAGAACATCTGCGCACGTGGCAGGCGGAGTACACTTCACATACTAGAATAACCCCCCTTCTTATGTCACCATTTCCTAGTTCTGGATCTTACGTGTTATGGGAGGAGGAGATCCAGTACTGGGACAGCGGGAAGTTCATCTCTTCCGGGATCACCGCGTCACACTGCGCCTCCACAATCCCGTTCTCTTTGGAGAAGAGGTAAATGAGGAACTGAGGAGAGAGAGGGGGAGAGAGAG